AGCACAAGGAAAAGATGTCTGCACATTCTGTTAAGTGCACTATTGCTTATGGGCAAAGAACTCAATTCTGTTGTGCCTGTAGCTTCACATTCATCTCATAGGTGAAATGTATGTTTTCATGTTTTATGTTATAATAAAATCAGATTTGTCACCAAATTCCTGTTAGACAAGGAGTCCCAGCCTTTGGTAATCTCTGGGTTTTTGAAACATGTAATAAATACATCAGACACATGTTGAACATGTCTGAAGTGACCAAATTGGATTTTCTGAAAGACTGGAAGCTCTGGCATCAGAGAAATGATGGGATTGGGCAGGGTGGAGTGGTGGTACCTTCCTCACATCTATTTGAGAATGCAAGTACCAGAACCAAACTTTATATGTCAGAGTTATGGTATCCCACATTTGTGAACTATTACTGTATATTTGTAAAATTTTGGGAATTTCAACTACAATATTTGATTCCCCCCCCCCTACAATTCAAATAGAGATGAACTGCAAAACGGCATACCAGATGAAAGTTAAATCCCCCATGTCCACATTCAGAATCATGATGTCCATAAATAGGTATTTTTTGCGACAAAATTGAAACTCCACACAATTTGCTCTCAACTTTTAGTGTCAAGTTTCATTGCATCCGCCATCTGGTTTCAAATCATATTTTTCCATTGTAACAGAATATATCCCTTAAATATTTTAAAGACCTTATGATTATGATCTTCCACTCAAAATGGGAACAGTGTGAATAAAATTACACATGAACACATCTGAGATGTCTGTTTACAAAAGGAGAAATGTGGAACATACTGTTGCTCTGTTTAGTGTATAAATATATCAATTTCTATTCTTCCATAGCCTTGATAAAGTATGTATTTTCTCTCCTAAAGACAAAAGCAATGTAACTTCCTATTAGTAATAATGCAGTTCCTCATACATCCCATTTTCTTACAAAACTTGGCTTCTGTACTATATTGTGGAATCTAACTTTTATTCATAAGCATTATCCAAAACACAACAAAAATTGTTTTTGAGACCCTGCTGTTTAACAGCATGAAAAGCTTCAGAGTGAGATCAGGTTCAGAATCAGACAGCTCCCTTGTATCTTGGCAATCCCATAAATTTCCAAACTAACTAGTAGTTTTGTTTCACCAGGCAAAACCATGGCAATTTGCTCCGATACAGAAGCATGCTGGAATTACCCTCAGAATCAGATATTTCAAAGACTTCGATGCAATATCATTTAAGTGTTAATAAATAATTCAGCAGAGGGCATGAAAAATTAACCAGAAATGGATTCTCCAAAGGGTAAATTTATAAATAAAAATACTACCATTTTGTGTGCTTTTTTTCATTGCTAAACTAGTCAGGATGTTTACAGGGTAATCAGTTTGCTTCTTCAGTAACACCAATCATGCATTTGCTCTGTAATGGCAGGGCCTGTTTTAAATCTATTCCATGTGCTTTATTCCCATGACTGCAGATGGCTACAATCCACATTCCATTTATCCTAGACTAAAGTCAATTGAATTGCTTTAGAATAAGTGGGTTGTGGATTTCTGCCAATAAGAGCAATGCATGTACACTGAAATGAGAATGAACTCTTTCTGTCAAATGGAGACCACATTTTCAGCACAAATTTTATATCTATGAGAGTAAACTAGGGGTGCACAAGGCAGTTCATGCTACTAAAAGAAAAGAGTACCTCCTTCTGAAAATAGTTTCCTAAAATATGTGATATAAAATATTAGAACTATACTATAGTATGCATTTTCTAAAAACATATAAAATGTACTAGGTGAACAGGAAGTGCAAAGAGATTACAATGCCTGCTCTAATATAGTCTTAAGTACAGGATAACAGCACAAGCATCATCCCAAATAGAAATTTAATAAAGTCTTCTTTAACAAATAAAAATAGTAACAATTATTAAAGGATACAGCATCTTTGGGACCTGAAAAATCAGTTAGCCAATTAAGGCTGCAGAAATACAGGAATCTCTGATTCACCTGCACAACTCTAAAGAATGGCTCCAAGATGATAATCTTTTGTTTCTTTCCTAAATTTCTAAGTTAACTTTGCCCCCCTCAAACATTAATCTATTAAGAGGAGTATATAGAGTACCAACAGAAGTTTGTTTAGCATGCTTTTCAGTGCACTGTCTTAGGTATTGTTTATTTTTCTAAAATACAAATATATATATATTTAAAAATAAAAGAAGCCTGGCAAAAATTAGTCGCATTTGCAAGTTTCAAAATTAAAAATTTGAAAATAATTAACTACTTAATATTATGCCTGGGAATAAGGCCACTGAGCAGCAGGAATTATTTTAGAGTAAATAGGAATAAACTGAATTGCATGAAATGATGGTTTGTCAATAATTAGGGACCACTTTTAAAGACACTGGTTGTAGCAGCATGTGGGTTGAGTGTAATTGCAGATAAGAGTCAAGATTTGATTACTTCTAATTCAAAGGCAGCACAAAAAAAATTAATTTTCATGTCACCAGAATAATATATTTCCCCATGCAATGTTCTGCAATAACTGAAGTTTTCCATTGCTTTTTTCCACACAAGTTTCACATTTTCTTGGTTCGATAAAGTGCCCTCGTCTTCAAATTCTGGCAATAGCTTGGCAAATTCACAAGTCTTATGTAATGACAGATATTTTTTAATTATAGTCTTCTAAGATCTGCAGGCACCTTATTACTATGGAAATAAGTAATAATCTGGCTATAATGTGGAATTCAAATATGGACTGCAAAAATTCAGATGACCACTAAACAGTTATAAGAGGCTGGTTATCTATATCTCCTTGCTATTAACCAGTGCTCTGGATTTGAACCAGTCAAGATCTGAACAGTACTTTATAGGGTCTTTTAAATAAATATTACTTTTAAGGTAACTATTCTTTGTCTTCAAAAGATAGAATCACTTTATGGCTTTTACATAATTTATAAAGATCTGTGTTATTATGGTAAGGAATACAAATACTTCAATTAATCTTTTTCAAGATATGATTGTCATCAACTTATAAATACTGCTAGCAGATAAATGACTTGCTACTGTACTGGGTCATATCAACTGATACAAGAAATGATTCCTTCTTAAATCCCTTATGGATTTTTTTTGCTAGATGCCAGTCATATGTTCACAGCCATATGTTAAGACAACAACCACCTTAATATTTTCCTTATTATCATCATGCATTTCCAACAGAATAAACAGAAAAATAATTACCTCATCTTGACACTTCAAAATGACTATCACTGATAGATTACCACTATGTTTATCAGAACCATGTGGTCCTCAACTTACAACTGTAACTGAGCCCACAATTTCAGTCATAAGTCATGATGTTCTTAAACAGGTCAGCACATGGCTGTGCCCAGTTTTACAACCTTTTTGTCAGCAGTCGTGAATGCCACAACCATTAAGTGATTGTTCGCTATGGAGCAATTTTTGCAGGAAATCAGAAGTAAATGTCAGTTTCAGGCAAAAATGTCATAAATCACAATCACCTGACCATGGGACACTGCAAAAGGCTGTAAAAGTGGGCTGGTTGCTGAGCATCCAAAATGTAGTCACATGACTGTGGAGGGTGATAAACAATAGAGCAGGGGTCCCCAACCCCCAATCCGTGGACCGGGACCAGTCCGCAGATGTCAGCAATACTTTAAACGGTGCACCATTGTTTTGTTCTGTAATTAACTCATCCCACAAATTACAACATTCTCTTTCCATTGCAACTTTCAGCTCCCTGAGCATTTATGTATGCATTATTTTTATAATAAAACAAGGAGCATGTTGATAGACTTGCTTAAACAGCATGCAAAAGGAAAGCATGCCCTTCACTGATATAAAACAGACTAAACATTTCTTATATATTACTACCATTAAAGTTCTGTGTCCTTTACATGTTTCCTTCCAAAATATTACAGTTATAGTACAAATAAAAATGGTTTCATCTGATGTAGTTGCAGAATTCCCAGTGAAAGGGCCTACATTAAAGTGAGCCACTCACTATCTTCACCCTATTTTTAAAGCAAAATCAGATTAAATACCAATCCCTTTCTCATGAAAAGGTGATTAACTGTCAAAATGATCTGAACAGAATTGTATATCCTTGATCTTATCCTTTGGAAAGTAATATACATGCCATTTAGCACTTTGCAGAAATGTGTGCATGTATGGTATGTGTATCCATAGGAATATACATGCATATATACATTAGGTTTGCATAAAGGAGTGCACCTGCAACAACCCACAAATATATTTTGAGACAATACCATATATAAAGTATTCCACCAGATAGTGCCTTCACATTCTATAAGCATGCATTTTACATGGGAGATCTCATTTATTATGACAAAACCTATTGCCAATATTTAAGCATGTTTAGAATGGATATTTCAGGCTTGAATATACAGCTACATAACAAATATAGAAAGGCTTTGATTTTTGCTTCTTTCACAAGATAATGGATGACACGACCCACCTCAAGTTTCTGACACATTATCTACAAACCATTAGAAACAGTTTTTTTTACTTTCTAGAACTTAATGGTTAAGGATCAGAACCTATATATGCAACATTACAATCAAGAAGCATTATTAGCTGAATCCAAAGATCATCCTTGCTTTAATCTCATATTTGTTTTGCTTAATTAGACATATTAGAAATTCCCTTTGAAAATTTCAATGGGAGCTGCTATTTGGGATAATAAGTCCACTTACAGCACAGAACATCCATACTTCAGAGCATGACCCATGAGTAGAAAAAACTGGCTAGGATCTCAAAAACATCCTTAAGTAGTTCCACATGCCTCATGCAGAAAGGAATAGACTGGGTTTGTTCCTCTATTTCTATTCTGCATAGCAAACTATTTATGAAAGTGAGCCCAAAAATGCTTTTTCAACTTTCTTGTTTTTCTCTGAAGATGTTTCACTTCTCATCCAAGAAGCTTCTTCAGCTCTGACTGGATGGTGGGGAATGGAAGTCAGAGCTGAAGAAACTTCTTGAATGAGAAGCGAAACGTCTTCAAAGTAAAACAAGATAGTCCAGTTGCCTTGTGAAAAGCATCTTTGGGACAACTATGACCCGGATAACTGAGAATCTCCACAGACATTTATGAAAGTGAAGTTACTTGAAAAAGTAGCTCGTAGCACCACTTTGACACACTATGGATTCAGTTGTTCACAGTAAGGGGGGGGGGAAAAAAAGGGGAAATCCCAAATGGCCCATTCTCAAGTATCTAAATTCACTTTCTGGAGCTGATCTTTACAAATAAACATACTGAATCTTGTTTCTTGCACTGCTATATATAGAGTACTTCAATATAATTTAATTAATATAAGCAATTAAACAATTGTTACTACATTCCAAACTTGTATTTTTAGCTTTCCTTTATTAGTATACAGCCTCTATGCTTTTGATGTGTATTTTGTATACCTAGCTTTATTTACTGTAAAAGCTAAAAAGGTTAAACAAATGCTTAATGAATAAAATGTTAGTCATGTGTAATTTGTTATTTTTAGTTAATACTCTATGTCATAGTTTTAAAAGCAAATTTTAATTATAAATGCATCAATTTCCAAATGGATTGACATACCACCCTATTGTTCCTATCTGTTTTGAAAATACGTCTTTAGGCACATGATACCTTACTGAAAAGATGTCAACACTGTGTAGTAGCTACTTCAGTAGTACTCATATATTCTGTGGTCCTCAACATGTCTATTGTTGCCTGAGATTAAAAGGAAAAAAAAAAGAACATTTGATGGACTAAGAGTTTGCCAGTTGTTTTATTTAATAACTATTTAGGGAAGCAACTATTTTAAATATACCCCAAATTAAATATGTCATCTTTGAAAATATTAACAAGTTGGCAGTGACAGCCTTAATAAGCTAAACATATTCTATCTTAGAAATTCCTAGGAATTAGCTTTGTAAAAAGAAAACACACTGGAATTTTGGCTCTGATGCATGCATCATGTTGCAGGATCATCACAATAGAGTTTTTATTCTGGGGTGCTACAGCCTATATAAAATTTTGTTCTAGTTTACAGTATTATAGGAAGGCTCACACATTTAGAACCATAAAACTACAGAGCTATAAAAACTAATTTTGCTTCAATTCTAGTAAATACAGAAAGACATTTTAATTATTAAAAATTGTATCACTAGGAGTAACATATGCACCTATTTATACACGAAGTACAATTTATTGTATAAATGTTGTATTTGCCTCTATCTTGACATATAGGGAAGTTCCCGGAACCTGATTATTTTACGCATTGGAAAAATATTGATGTAAACATCTGAAAGTTCACTAGATGTCTTCAACATCCATTTATATTAGTTCAGATCCAAAGCAGACAGAAAAGCAAGCAAAAATATATCTTCCCATTATAGAAACCCACCTAACTTGTTAATCAGCTACCTTTAATTAACTAAATCTGCTAACAGTAGACAGCGCTCTCTATATCTCAAATTAAATATCTGAACTTTTACTGTTACTACTATTTAATTATTTTTGACGCTTTCTCACAGCATTGGAGCAAGCATTTTCAATATGAGCCAAAAACATTTTTTAAAAAGCTTGTATATACTGAATAATTTCATTTGGTCCTCTTTCTCCCACAGCTCTTGTCTTCTTAATACAAGTTTGCATTATTAATTCTATCTGGAAAAGTGGCCTCCTAAGTATTTTAGTGAATTGGGAAAAACAGGTACAAGTGTTAAAAAAGTGCTCAAAAAGAAATTTATATATATATGTGTGTGTGCGCGTGTGTATACACACACACACATACACACATACATACACACACACACACAAACATACATTGTATTTGAAGATGGAATTGAGAAGCATTTGTCCCTTGCATTCATCATTCATAAAAAGTGGAAGTGTCTTCCTTTAGATGAGGTCAAGGCCAAACTGCTTATCACAAGGTTCCTGAAAAGACTGGGATGCCCATTATTATTTCCTTTTATTTTTTGGCACTTTCATGATATGCGGCTGTTTTACCTGTTGTCCCTGCTAAGCTTCTGTAACTGGCTCGGTGTACAAGCACTTTTGAAACAGGGATTTTTGTTCTAGGAATCTCACTTTTGGTAGCCTGGTGGTGTACAATGTGATGGCTATTACTGGAATCCTGGCCATGGCTACCATGTGGTGATGTAAAATGCTTGATACTGATGGGTATCTTTGAATCCTTGAGTGAAGTTGTATGGGTTTTGACTGGACAAGTAGTTGTTATTGGAGATAATGGCTTGCAACAAGTCACCGTGGTGATATTTTCTGCAGAAGTCACAGTTGCTGTGTTTTCATCTGGATCAGTATACAGATCATAGAGAGCATCCCCACTGCAGCTGTCCCTGGGAATGACCTCTTTCTGAATACTATTAGTATTGTCTTCTTCAGGTCCAGGTGTAGTAGAATCCCAATAGCCCTCATCACTGCTGGGGATGGCTTCCTGCTGCTCTTTTTCTCTATTTTTCTGGTCTTCTTTCTGGTGGTGAACTGGAATCTGGCTAAGACCAATCTGTTTTCCATTTGCTGACCCATCCTGAACTCTCCTGACAATCTTATCACCTTTGGAGGTCTCAGGGGATTCCATCCTTCCTGCTGTCCCCTGTGGTTTCTCTTCAGTGTGTGACAATAAATCCCAGAACTCCTGAGTACAAGTGTCTCCCACCTGTTCAGGGCTGGCCATCTCCTCTCCTCCTCCCTGGTAAGTCACCACGCTGGCAGGCTTCTTGGAGGGCCCAGCTTTGCCAATTCTAGGGGCACTCCTCTCATTTCCACCTCCACCACTGCCACCGCCGCTGCCCACGTCATCTTCCTGGTCAGCAATAATGTCCCCACAGCCTGTAAGAGAGTCAAAGCTTTTCAGTGAAGTCACGTCAGCAAACATCAAACAAATACGGTCAATAGATGGCTCAGAGGGTGGATCAAGAGAGGAAGGGTCAGGGGCTGCTGCTGCCTCTTGGCTGCGTTCATACTTGGGTTCAACAGGGGGGAAAGACTTGATGGGGAGGTCACCTGTTTTAGCCGAGTCCTCGATCTCTTGGCCATCACTACTGGTTGATTCAGGATGGACCTCTTTCTCCTGGGACAAAATCCTGGGAAGCTCCTCTCCTCCGGAGCCACATGGTGCCGGCTGCGGTGCCAGGTCTGTGGTGAGCATGACTTCAGTGGCAAGGGGACTCATTGGCTGTTCTCCATCCTTAGTGACCAGGGGTGTCCGGATGGGGTCAGTAGACGCTCCTGGTGGTACCTCCTCTTTGATGCACTCCAGGCTGGCCGTGAGGGAGCCTGTATTGAGGATGCTGGGACTGGCCTGGCCCTCGGAGCCCTCACCAGCGTCGTCGTCCTTCACCCCGCCGCCCGGCTTCTCCCGGCGGGGCCACCGCATGCTGCTGAAGAGCCCTTTAAGGCCCCCGCGCACTTTGGGTCTCTCACCTTTGCCGCCTTCGTCGGAGCGGCCGTTTTTGCGCAACAGCGAGAAGAAGCTGTGCGACTTGCCCACCGCCGCCGCCGCCGCCGAGGACGAGCAGGAAGAGGCGGCTTCCTTGGCGGCCACAGCGGCGGCCCCGCTACCCGCCACACGATCGCTCCTGCCAGTCTCTGGCCCCTCGTTCCTGCCGCTCTCCACCTCCAGCACCTCGGCCAGGCCATCGTGGGTCTTGCTCCTCACCATGCCCGTTCCCTGCCCGCCGCCGCCGCCGCCGCCTTCTCCGCTTTTGCTTTTGCCGCCGCTCCTTACACCGAAGATGCTTGGCATGGCGCCCCCGGATTTCCTTCGCTTAAACAATTTGAAGGCGGTTTTGTTCAGCTTGCCCGAGGGCGGCGGCGGCTGCTCGCCCAGCGCGGTGGGTTCGCCACCATCGCAGTGCGCGTCCATGGCGGCCGCGGCGGCGCTGCCTTCCCCTCCTGCAGCCCCCACGGACGCCTGCGCTTGATTTCCGCCGCTCGCTCGCTCGGCTGGCTCTCACTGACAGCCTCGACGCCGCCGCTCCTGCTCTGCCTGCCGCCCGTCACCATGGCAACCCAGGCAGGGCTGAGCAGCTTGCCTCCGCGTCGGGCCTGGGCCCGCGCCAGGCTCCGCCGTCCATGGCGGCCAACCTGAGCCACAGCAGCCCCCGTCCGAGCCACGAGAGGGGCGGGGGGGGAGGGAAGGGGGCGGCTCCTTTCTTCTCCGTCGCCCGAATGAGGAGGGGGAAGGCTGGTTTAACCTAATCCACTTGCGGCGGCTGGGACTGCGGCTGCTCATTCGCTCAGCCTCAGGGTCTGCGTGGCTAGGGGCGGGTGATTTGGAGTATATGAAGCTCTTGCTTACACTCTACCGAACCGGGAAAGATGGCCCCGGCTTCTCAGGCCCCTAGGAGCTCCTCTCTCCAGGACTTGATCGCCGAGGGTACGGTTTTCTACCGGCGGGGGTGATGGTGGGAAACGGACATAAACGAATCCCCTTCAATCTCTGCTTCGAAAGTCCCCCTAAGGGCAGCGACATTTGGAAAGAAGCTGAATCTCTTGTTCCCTATTCTAACCTTGAAGCTTGAATATCCATTCAAACCAAACAAAGCAGAGGTTGCAAGAGCCAGTTTGGTCTAGACATTAAGGCACCAAGCTACAAATCAGGAGGTAGTGAGTTCTAGTTCTGATTTAGGAATGAAAGCCAGTTAAGTTAATTAAGTTAATTCTCTCTCAGCCCAACTCACTTCATAAGGTGGTTGTTCTGAGGAAAATAGGAGGATTAGATATGTTTGCCACCTTAAACTATTTATAAAAGGAATAAAGGTGGGATAAAAAAAGAATGCACATGTTTTAAACTCACCATGGAATAAGCTGGATGGCAATAAACTTGGATAGAGTATGATGCTGTTCTTTGAAAGAAAAACATTTTACAGGTAATCCTCCATTTATGACCACAACTAAGACTAGAATTTCCTTTGCTAAGCAAGTAGTCATTGTGAGTCACACTGGATTTTATGACCTTTTTGCCACAATTGTTATGTAAATCACGGCAGATATTAAGTGAATTACATAGTCATTAAATGAATCCGGCTTCCCCCATTAACTTTGCTTTCTGGAAGCTGGCTGGGAAAGTTGCAAAATGGCAATGAGTCTGGGACGCTGCAACTGTGTAAATACATGACAGTTGCCAAGCTCCCAGATTTTGATCACTTGACTAGGGAAGCTGCAACGATCATAAAGCAGTCACTTTTTTCAGTGCCATTGTAACTTGGAACAGTTGCTAAATAAATATTGATAAGTCAAGACTACCTTATACTTCAAAATACAGCTGTAAACCCCCAGATGCATTTCATAACTGTTTAAGCAATTAATTAGAGGTTCTGAATTAGTTACAATAGGTTTTATAGCAAAAATGGCAAATTGATTGCATCAAGCTGATGCAAAATGCAAAAAAAATGGTTTTGACTCAGTCTAGTTCTTTTATTTCAAGAACAGCAGCTGGGTCATGTTTTTGTATCGGAACTATGTAAAAGAAAACAGAACTATGCTCACCCTGAGAATCCTTTGCTGCATTAAATTGAGATAGCTTTCCTCTGTCCTGGTGCTTTTAAGATAGAACAAAAGTCTCTGGAGATCCAATTAACATCTCCCATGTGTCAGACAAGACTTCTCATTGCCCCCAAATCCTTTTAAGAACAAGGTATGTTTTGCATTCATTTGCTGTAGTCATGGGTGATTCTGCTTTCCTGCAAATATTTTATCCATGTTACTTTTCATAAATTATTTTGAGATCTGCGATTAGACTTGTCACTATGATGCTATTTATATAACTCCAAAAATGCAAGTTCAGATAAATTATTATATGTACTTATATGTCAATCATAAACATGTTTAATACATGAGTTTTGTTTATGCCGGGCTATGGACAATTATGAATGTATTTTACATGTGCCGATGATATAAAAAGACTGCTTTCTAGTTGAATATTTTATTGATAAATGTTAAAATAACATCATAATAACCCCTAAGCATGTTATATTAAAGCTGGTAATTATTTATTTTTGATTTTAAAAAAAGCCTTTGGATGCTTACTTAATAGGCTCATCACTTTTAACAGGTTACATGCACTTACACTAATTCATCTTGGGCATAGGATAGTGAATTTGCCTTTTGGTTAAAGGCAAAATCTATTTAACTGGTCTGAACAATAGTTAGCAAATGTTTGAGGAATATAACAATAATAAAGGATAAGGCAATATACAACAATGGCTACCTGTAACATTTCCATTTTTTTTTTATACATTTTATGCTCCTTCCTGCTTCTTTGCTTATCCAGGTAAAGCAAACATGTTACGTAAGCAAATCAAACAGAACATACTGTACACAGCAAAATTATATTTGTTTTAGAAGCTGAATGCTGATAGACATTTAATACAATTACAGTATGCAATACACTGTAAGAGGAAAAAAGAGAAAGAAAATTGAATGAATTTTAATCCAATAAACCTCTATACCCAAGACTTAACTTGATTTGGTTTCTACAGTCCACCCAATGTTTTGATCAGCACAGCACTCTGGCTGTATATCAGTTTAAATCCACGCTTTTCAAATTTGGCAACTTTAAGATATGTGGAGTTCAACTCCCAAAATTCCCAACCAGTATGATGGTTTAAAAGGAGATTACTACAGGCAATTAATGCTAGTTTTCAAACTAGCTTCTTGAAAATTGCAAGCAATACATCTAAAAAACAGCTAGGGGTATCTAATATAGTTTTTCATGTGTGAGAGCTTGTTCACTCAGTTCACTCACAGAGCTATTTATGCTCATTTGTTCCAATTAAACTATTTAGAAAATGGAATAGTGGTAGGCTTGAAGCAGAAAATCTGACAGGTTTTGATCCCTATGACATGCTAGAAGTTTTGCTGACTGTTTTGCATCAAACATGCTTTGCCGGAAACAAAGCTTGGAACATTTTGCTTGTTTGGGTTTGGGCCAAAACAAAATTTCCAGATATGTCAGAGTCATTTTATGGGGCAGTTAGGGAAAAGCTGGTGCACATCTCTCCCTCTTTCCTCCGCCCCTGCATGCTCAGTGTGCTGGCACCCTTCCCCTTCTTTCTATTTTTTTTTCTTTTTCTCCCCTGCTTCCTCTCAGCAGCCATTCTTATATCAAACAGCCACATTTCATTTTGCATCCAGATCACGCCCTGTGCACATGTTTTGGTTTGGACCTGGACCCCTCAAAGCCAGCTTTGGCATAGAACCATTTATGCATGGAATATATTATATAATAAATGTTTGGTAAGGTTTTTTTTTTAATATGAGAAAGAAGGTAGCTATCTAATTTCTACAATGTGTTTCAGAGAGTGGATGCCACAACCGAAGGTATGCTACCATGGCAATTAGGATTTTTTTTAAAAAAACTTTTCATGTAAAGAAAAATTTATGATTGGAAAAAGGACCATATCTTGGTAGTAGAACAATATGTACAAAGTGCCAGATTGGAGCCCTAATATTTCCTGTAAAAAGGGTCAGATAGCAGGAAATGGAAAGAAAAACCTCTGCCTGATATGCTGAATTTGCTGTTTTGATCAGGCTGGAGAGAATACTGATTCAATTGGACAAATATTTGCAGTAAGTGTACATAAAGGAGTTATTAATAGAATATATCCTGTGCATGTGAACAGTCATAAGATCTTTTAACATAGATTGCTTTTGTTGACATAAAGTATTTTGAGAATGGAAGTCCTACTCCATGCTATTAGCTAAGGAGCACTACAGATGCAGTATTTAAAATCTGGGTCAGAGAGAAGGCTTTGTGAATATGTTAAAGGGGCTTGTTTTGTGTTTTTTCACTTTGGGGAAGAAAAGGCTTCTAATGTTTGGTCTAGAATCTAATATGTGATACTCTGTACCAACAACCTATCCACAGCTGCCACATTACATAAGGCAGATATTCAGACAAACTATTATTTCACAGTCGAGTAAACAGAAGCTTATGTTGAAGAAGCAAACAAAGAAAAACCCAATTAGGAATCTAGCTGGAAACCACTACAGTTTCCAAACAACAAAATGCTATGATACAGCTGGTAGAATTAAATGCCTTTGTAAAGGGATCATCTCCTTGAACTGTGTATCTCTTCATTTTGTTGAGCCATCCAGCAAGGTGTCCTTCAAAGCCTCCATTCTTTGTGTCTGTGCAGGTGAGCTTCTTTGTGGTAGTGGTGGCAATAGCAGCTCTGTTATGCAAAATATTTAACTTTCCACAGCATCTTCTCCATAATATTCCAACAAGATAGGCTAAGCAATTAAAATGAGAAGCAGATGAGAGGCAGCTTTATGGATGAGTCCTATCAGGCAAACAGGCTCTGACTAGTGCTATGGATGCCAGGGGTCAGCCTTTATAACATGGATCTAATTATTCTGTGTTATCCATAATGACACAAAACTGTACTGAACAATTTAGTTGCCAAGTGTTATTCTACTCTGCCAGAAGACGTTTGCAGTTGGCTGTGGTCCAGCTCTAGCAATAATTTAAAGGAACACAAATGTCAATATATCACAGAGAGAGAAAGAGAGTATACATACATATACATTACACAAAGCTTTTCTTTATTACCTTTTATCTCCTGTTTTGAATAGTTTAGTACAGAATGTTTTAAGACACAATTTGCACATCCTTGGATTAAAAAGAAAAACAAAGAAGGGATTGTTTTCAAGCTGACTGAGAAGACTTGATCTTGTCCCACTTCTGCCATAAGTGCTGAATGGTTCTATGGGTAAATTATCTCTTAGCCCTTCTTCATAAAATGCTATTGATGTATCATGACAAAAGGAGGGCTTAGAGTTGCATAATATTTATATTATGTGGGAATACAAATTTAGAAATGCATTGCTATGCTGTGAGTGGAAATAACACACCATATTACAAGAAGACTAATTGCAACCAGGAGAACCATATGCCTGTTCAGCTTTTGTGGATGGACAACTCCAGGATCCTCCTTTCCATTTTTAGGATTCTTTACATTAGAATTGGCTTATACAGCCCTGTAAATACAATAGTTTTAGGCTTGCAGCTATCAGTTTCCTATCAATATTGGCCAGAGAAGTAGGAATTCTGGGAACCGCAGACTCAATATATCTGGATGACACTATATTAGGAAGGCTTAGGAATATAAGGTGCCTTTCTCTATAATATAGGACACCTAATTGTTAAAAGATGGCAGTCAACCAGAAATCAAGTAGATTTTCCTGGAAACCAAGTTCATGAACTTATGTCACTATCTAAAAAGAAATAGTTCCAGATCCATAGCAGATTGTCTGTTTATTGCATGTATTTGTGTGTGTGTGCACATGCACCCATATGCTAGTCTTTTAAGTCTTAATTTTCAGATATAGAGTATAAATGGTATATGTGTAGAAGTAATTGGCAAAGTATCCTGGGCTCTTGGGGAAATGATGAAATATAACAAATAAATACTCCAGATAGAATAGAATAGGGTAGGGTAGGGTAGAGTAGAGTAGAGTAGGAGCTGGAAGGGACCTTGGAGGTTTTCTAGTCCAACCCCCTGCTCAAACAGGAGAACCTATACCATTTCAGACAAATGACTGCCCAGTCTCTTCTTAAAAATCTCCAGTGATGGAGCACCCACGATTTCTGAAGGCAAGTTGTTCCACTGGTTAATTGTTCTCACTGTTAGAAAGTTTCTCCTTAATTCCAGGTTGCTTCTCTCTTTGATCAATTTCCAACCATTGTTTCTTGTCCTGCCTTCTAGTTCTTTGGAGAATAGTTTGACCTCCAGTAGTGTCTTTACTTTTTGTCCTGACTTAAATTATTGCTACGTCAATAGGACAAAGTAGGAAGGTCTGTGGAATTCACAACTTAGCAGTGGTGACATAGATGGTCTTAAAATGGAATCTAGATTTAAAACATCATACAGTTTATCTCCACTGATGTATTATCAGATATATTAGTTTTTAATAAGATGATGGCAAAGTGACCTACATATTATCATTCTGAGAACTGAGCTCTGAAAGAACTAAAATGCCCAACCCCTTCACCTTTCTCAGCACAAAAGAATGAGAGCCATGGGATGAGATCAATGGGAATTCAACTTCAGCAGCCTTAAAGGTGCTTCTCCGCTGCAGGACAGCATCCAATCATCAATTCCCTCCTTCTTGCTGCATCAGCCTCTCCAATGGGATCATCTGGCTTTTGGCCTCACTCCAGCTGCAGGGGCTGCACTCTCTGCCAGCAGCCAACATCGCACCGAGGCCAGTGGCCAACTTTCCCTTCTTCTCCATCTCAATCTCTTCCCTGAGTCATTGTCGTCCTCCTAAAAGAGTTAGGTAGGCAACTGGGGCTCAGGACCCCAAGTTTTAAAATTTTAAGGAAACTTGGTTTAATGTCATGGTTCTGATAGATGAGACCAGTAAAAGCAGGACTCCAAGCCAAGAGGTTTCCTTAAAGAACATGTTTATTGGCTACAAAGTATCGGCATAGTTAAAAGTGTAACCAAGTCAGGAGTTCCCTCCCAAGTGTTACAATGTTATAAAGTTGAACTTCTCACCCCAGCATTATGTAATTATCCATGTTCCCCAATAAAATACTTTGGCGAGCTTTCTAACGTAAGGCTCAGTCCACCAAAAGCAGTGGTTCTCAACCTTTTTAATGCTGCGACCCCCAACCGGTCATTAAGTCGAGGACTACTCCACCGGTCGTAAGTCGAGGACTACTCAACTGGTGCAGCACCGTTTGCAGAATGGGACTTTGGGCGGGCTCAGCAGGGCAGAGACAGCCTGGACAGTTCCTATTGGCTTTTGAAAGCCAATAGAATTAGACTCTATTCAAGAGAGTCTATTCTATTGGCTTTCAAAAGCCAATAGAATAAAAGGGAGTGGCATAGCTAAGGAAAAGAGGGAAAAAATGGCGGACTGTGTTGTTTGGCGACACCCGTGAAATGGTCGTTCGACCCCAAATGGGGTCCCAACCCACAGGTTGAGAACCACTGACCAAAAGTCTGGCAGCTATGACCTTGGTTCCCATGGGACAAATTATTGTTTAGTCTAACCTTAAAACCACTCACCCCCCCCCTCCCAGTACTGTGGCAACCGAAAACGAAGAAAAAATGGCTTCAGCCAGGATTGTTGCAGTGTTGACAATGTGGCAAACAGTTATGACTGCAGGAATTCCTGAACATGTCAATGCCTGATAGTAAGATCTCAATAGAGAAACAGAAAAACCAAATGCAGTATTCACAAGGCATAATATTTCTCTTGATGTTGGTGCAATAACCAAAATCTGCCCTCGCTGTCATTGTAAAGCAATAGTAATACAATTCATGGAAATTTGATATTCATTCTGCTCACATCAGACTGTACTACCTTTCTCACAAAGAATGAACCAGTGGGACTGGTAATAGATAACATTATAATGATTACTTTTACTGCAAGTGGCCTTTATGTTTTATTTTATGCCATCTTTATGTAGAAATGTCACCTACTGTCCAGCCTTTCAATGCTTGCAACTTTTTCCTCTCATTCTTCACATCATCTCTGCTTCACGTATCTATGGAAATAGGTTCTAGATAAAGAAATATGTATTACATATTCTGTACTACTAGAGGTCATCACATTGAAACTGTTTGCCTTCAAAGGGAAGGAAAACAATTATTGTAAACAGAAAATAGGACAGTGGTGCCTTGTATTTCAGGAGGATGCAGTTGAGTTCCACAAGAAGAATTATACAGTTGTGGTAGTTGCTGATTCACTGCAGGGAGGAATAGAAATAAATGTCTAATGATCATACCCGTAAAGTCTGAAATATGCAGCCTGCCGGGAGTGAGATGGTTTAGAACAGTTTCATAGATATATTGAATCCATCAACAGTTTTCCCTTCTGGAAAATCTGGGGTGAACATCACTGCAAAGAAGAGCTATCACTAGACTGTTATGGATTTTAAAAATTTTAGACAAGAAACTCAAAATTTGCTCTCATATATTCTTCCAGTCTATGGAAAAGCACTGGAAAGAAAGTAAAATACAGCCAGATAATGATTTCACTGTGCAGATGGGAAGATTTATTTTTTTTGTTCATGGTCTGGGGTATCTGAATGATGGAAATGAGATGTGTTCTATGTCACAAGAACTAGTATCTTTTTGGACAAGGAATGATCAGCTAGCCCAGCAGGGTTTTAAAATGAATCCTAGGGTGATTAGAAAACATGCAAGCACACATCAGAAATAAGAGTCTTATTTAATGATTTCTTCATTATAAATGGATGTGGGAACTTTCCTACAATATATCAGCCCTTCGGAAGCAGACTTTGTAAGGATTACAGGAATATAATATATTGTTGAGTATACTAGCACAATTTGAAAATCTGCCAGAATATTCCTCTGTCCACTCTTATACCAAACAGAATTGAGACAGGATTATTTTGAGTGTTCTTCTCTTACCCTCTCCTTTTCCAGGACTGAGTTGTCATTTACTTTCTCATAACAATTCTAACAGTCCTTGCATGTTTTTTTCAGTCCTACAATTTATACTTTTCTCCATAAAAAGGCTTATTACACCACTTGGTGGAAAAAGACAGAGAAAAGGCTGGCTTTGCTGTCTATACCTAACTTCAGTGTATGGAAAATGGATAAATTTGATTTATTTATTTATTTATTTATTTATGAAACTTATATACCGCTTTAAGTGCAAGCACTCTCTAAGCGGTGTACACCAGTAAGCAATGTATATATATATATTACATTGCCCCCAACAATCTGAGTCCTCATTTTACCTACCCCGGAAGGATGGAAGGCTGAGTCAACCTTGAGCCGGTGAGATTTGAACCGCTGACCTGCTGAAAACAGTCAGCTAAATGAGATTTTGATAAATATGATTTAATTAGTGTAAAAGAAATCTAGTTGGGGTAATTTTTGTTATTGGGATATAAAAACTGAAGGCTACAGTTGAAAAGGAACAAAGGCACTAGAAGGGGAAAACAAGTTTTTAAAAGAATTCAGAAATCCAAATGAATGAATCTATTCAGTGTTCAAAGAATATATCAGCCAACATGAGTGAAAAAGCAAATAAATGCTCAGTGTCCACTATTGTCTTTTTGACCAAGAAGAAAATGTGGATGCTGCTGTTCAAAGAGACGGGAAGGGAATGGAAGATTTTCATTTCCCAATTTAGTTTGGAGACAAACTCTGTCAAGTGCAGACCTTCCAGAATATTCCTGACATGCCTTCCTTCTGGACAACTTTTTCCTTCAGAAGATACAAGAAGGAGTGCATGAAAGGATACAAATCAACAGAGAAGACTTGGTTGATAAAATGGAAGTAGCAGGAACATTTGTGGGGAAATTATCATGCAATTTTACAATTCTTGAGATCTTAAAGGAAGCAACACTAAGTATAGCCAAACACATATCTAGGACTTCAGAGGAAATGCATTTTCATATTTACAGAGCAATGATAGGTGGAATTCCAGAGCAGAAGAAGCTAATAAGAACAGGATCTCAGTATGGGTTAGAATTCCTATATATGTGAATATGTATTATATATTAATACAGTTTTTAAAAAATAGACTACAGAATAAGCCAAAGAAGATAATGCAAAAAATGTAAGAAAGTACTGAAAAAACTAAGACATAGGAAATCAAAAGATAGAGAATGCTAACAAAATTCAAAGCAGGATTTCTTCAAATATATTGAGACTAAAAGGAAAATAAATATGCTTGTTATGCTCAGTAAAGATGGCAATATATGAAATATATGCTTGTTATGCTCAGTAAAGATGGCAATATATGAAAAATAAAAATATATTTTTAACAAATAAAAAAAGAGTTACTTACCTTGCTAGAAACATGAGCTGAAAATATCTGTTACGGGGAATACATTTAAATATCTAGGTCCTAATGAATTGCAACCTAGGGTACTGAAAAATAATAACCTAATGCAGAGGTCCCCAACCTTTTGAGCACCAGGGACCGGTTCTGTGGAGAGAGGTTTTTCCACAGATCGGAGGGGGCGTGGTTTTGTGTGCCTGAATCCTGTGGTTGGGACTTGGCTTGTTTGTGCGGACCAGTTGCTGGCATGCTGCAGCCAAGTACTGGTCCAAGGACCAGGGGTTGGGGATCTCTGACCTAATGTATTATTTCTGAGAAATCCTGGGGGAAGTTTCAGATGATGACAAGAGGGAGAATGTCTCTTGAAAAAAGAAAAATCTGGGTAATTAGAGATTACTCATTCTGACATCAGTTTCTGGAAAGATTCTAGAGTAGGTCATTAAGGGACTGATGTACAAGCAATAATTACCAAAGATCAACATATGTCAAAGGAAAGTATTATTAGACCAAATGTAATGGTTTTTATTGTTTTTTTCCTGGTAAATTTCTCAGTGTAGATTAGGGGAATGCTGTAAATATAATGCACTATGATTTAACAAAGCATTTGATAAAATATTCTTCAACATTTTGATCAATGAACTAGTACCATATCAGCTATGTGACATAAAAATAAATGAATATATTAAGTTATTTGAAAATCATATTCAGAGATTGTTCATTAATAATTCCTTATACTAGAGTGAGAAACTGAGTGGAGTGCCATAAGATATGGGTGTTTAATATTTTTATGAATGACTTGGAAGAAAAAAGAGAAGAAATAATAATTTTGTAGATGATATAACAGTATGATAGGTAATAGATAAGAGCAGGAAATAACAAATAAAATTCAAAATGATATTGATAAATTGGAAAAATGAGTTGAAATAACAGTAAAGATTAATAGAGACGAATGCCAAGTTCTTCACTTGGAAATAGAAATAAAATGTAGATATATAGAAAGATAGATTATCTTGGAATAATAGTTAATTGCAGACTATATATGAATTATTAGTGCAATGCAAAATAGGCAAATGTATTTTCAGGTTGTATTAATTGAAATATAAATTTCCTATTGTGGAAAGTAGCAGCTCATTTTGTTATGGTCAGACCCCAACATGAATTTTGTGTTCAGATCTTGACAAGAATATCACTTGACAAGAATATCATCTCCATAATGAAAAATGAAAAAAAGTGGTTTGCCTAAGACAAAGTGTTTAGGGAAATATCTGTATTAAAGATGTCATGCTACTTCACTTTAATATACTTTAAATTAGAAAAAAATACAAGTAACTGAAGCATAGAAATTTGGCCTGAGGATCTAAACAGCGCAGCACATAACATAATTATTATTCCAACGCGACCTTAGATAAATTTGCTTTTGGTTGGTATACAAGTCCTTTTTAAAACCATTTCCTCTTGTATCATTCTTCCTTGCTTTCCCTTGTATCTTGAATCATTTAGTCATTGTTACTGAAGAGCTAAAATTTTATGTACATAGGAACCAGGACTAATGCAAGTAGAACTTCTGCAATATAAACACTGCTGTTATTGCAATAAAATAGCAGACAGCATCAACAAATTAATTGTAAAATTGTTTCTTCAAGCCAAAGCACTTCTGCTATAGGAAGCCATTACTAAAGAGTCTTTCCCCCAGGAATACTTAATGTAACCCAGACCTCAATATGTTAACTTGCTGGCATAATGATATGCCATCCTGACTCTTCTTGTGGCCCTAGCTGACTAATGAAATATATTGTCTGCATTTTCTCTCCTCTCTCTCTCTTTTGAAGGCATGTATAACAGGTATTTAAGCACCAGGCCAGAAACTAGGGGACTGTGAGTTCTAACCCCCATTTGTCATGAAAGCAAATGGGGTTTCCTTGGGCCAGTCACTCTCTCTCAGCCCAACCTTGTTGTTCTGGGGAAAATAGGATGAGGAAGTAGTATTAGGTATGTTCACCACCTTGTATTATTTATTTAAAAAAAAAAATAACAAAGGTGGATAAAAAAAATCTGTTAATAAAGTTACTTTTCTCCAGGCCAGCATAATCTGGACAAGGGTAGCTACCAATGTTGATTGGAGGTGGTCCAATACCTTGAAAACAAGGGGTATGTTATGTAGTTAAGTTTGTAGACCACGGCTTTGTTGCAATTTAAGAACACAAAAGAATGTGGTAAGATCATTTTAAATTTTAAATCGTGTTCTGAGACAGGTCAAATTTAGCATCATACACGTAGGGAGTAAAACTAGATTTGATAGCTCATTCAGATATTTCTGAACTTCAAATAAAAAAGAGCTTAAATGAATAAAAGTTATAACTTTGCAAGGGATAACATGTTCTAGGATGAAAAGTTGACCTCAGGAAAAGCCGCCTCTTACCTCTTCTTATTCAGCACAGGTAAGTAGGAGATGCAATTGGCTCCCAATGTCTGCCTCTCTCTTTGACAGTGAAGAGGGACAGAACTAAAACTGTTAATACTAGTGATGAGGCTATCAATTGTACTCAAATTAGTTTTTTCTTTGCTTAATTTTTGCAATTTTTAAGAAGGAGTAAAGTTTTTTTTTAAGATGGCTCCAAAGCGTCCAGTAATCTCTACAGCTTCTAAGGTGGCTTCTTCTTCGGTGTTATCATCAGGGCAACAACCTAAATTAATAGTTTCACCTTCTCCCCTGGTACAGTCAACAATGGTGAAGGACTTGCAAGATATGATGGGAGATGTTATACTTCAAATTAGGGGAGAAATGAAAGAGATTTTAGAGGAAAACAATAAGACTTTGAGGCAAGAGATAGTTTTGACTTTAAAAGGAGTTGCCTCTGTTCTTGAAAAGTTGAATTCTCGCATAGAAGAGGTAGTAGAAAAACTGGAATTGATGGAGGGAAAATTTGAAAGTATGGAAAAAGAGATGAAAAACTTTCAAGATGAGATTCTTATGCTTCAATATAAACAAATGGAATATGCCTTAAGAATCAGAGGTTTGCGTGAGTTTGTGCAAGGAGATTTGAAAGAAATGGTGGCAAAGGACTTTTCTGTGATTTTGAATAGAGAAGAAGAGGAAATACTTAGTGGAATTGATCAGGCATTTAGAGTTAACTTGGTGGTGGCAGAACAAAAGAATTTGCCAAGAGATGTGGTAATTTACTTTGGGAAAAGATCCCTGCGCAATGAAATTATACAAGCTTTTTATAAGAAGAGGTTTCAAATTGCTTCACAAGATGTTATAATTTTAAAGGAGATCCCACCAAAAATTTTAAGAAGAAGAAAGGAGTTTGCTTTTTTAGCAGACGAACTTAAAAAGAGACAAATTTTGTTTAGATGGGATGTTCCGACTGGAATGGTGGTGAGCTACCTGGGGATACGTTATAGTCTTAATACTGTTTCTAAAGCAAAAGATTTTTATACTTCGGTCCTGGGGGTGTGCTCATCGTCACTTACCACGTTTAAAGCTTTGGAAGAAAAAAAGGCAGAATTGCAGTCTGAAGTGCTTAGAATTATGAAAATTGGGAAACTTCAGTTTGAGGGGCCTCAACAAGTAGAGATGGAGGAGCAGAAGACAACCTGTGCAACATATAATTGTAAAGAAAAGGATCAACAGAAGAATCTCAAGGAAGTTCCACAAGTATTGGTTTCTGAATTTGCGGGAGAAGTAGGATTTATAAACTCTTTGGAGCAACCTTTAAGGGCAGAATTGCAGTCTGAAGAGCCTATATTAATTAAAAATGGGAAATTCCAGTTTGAGGGGTCTCAACAAGTCGAGATGAAAGACCAGAGGACAACTTGTGCAACACATAAACGTAAAGAAAAAGCAACATATAAACGTAAAGAGAAAGACCAACAGAAGAAGGAGGTTGAGGAAGCCTCACAGGTATTGGTTCCTGAGTTTGTGGGAGAATCAGGACTCACAAATTTTTTGGAGCGATCTTCAAGGGCAGATTTTAATGCATTTTTTTCGAAGTTTATGGACAAGAGGGGTTGATAAGGATTGCGTTTATAGTGGATGCAATTGGCTATTTGACAGAAGATTATGGAGACTGAATGAAAATTTTAGATAAGAAGTTTAAGTTTAAGTACTTTGTTTAAGTATTCAGAAGACTATTGAGACTGCGGGGGAAGTAAGACTTACAAAGTTTTGGGAAATATCTTTAAGAGGTGTATGGATAAGAGAAGGAATGTGTTTACTGTGGAGGAATTTGTTATTGGTAAAGATTTAAACAGGTATAAGGGAATTTTAATGTTTTAAGTATTGTTTAAATATGTGTTTTGGGATAATAATATAAGTATGATATGAAAAGGTTTAGAGTATATTATAAAACGATGGATAATAATATAAGTATGATATGAAAAGGTTCTAGAGTATACTATAGTTTGTTTAAAGATTGGTTTCTTTTTTCTCTCTATTATTATATGCTTATTTTTGTGTTCTAGAGTAAAGAAAGAGGGAGATTAGATTTTATATTGTAGGTATAGATATTTAAAGAAAGTAATGTTTAAATTTGTGTTTTGGCGATTCTTTATAGAATGATGGATAATAATATAAGTATAATATTAGAAAAGGTTTAGAGTATATTATAATGTGTGTTTAATGTTTGCAATTATTATCTTTTAGAGAAGATATTTGTTTAATTTAAGGTATTTAGATCTGTTTAGGATTTATATGTGTTTTTTTTACTTTTTATCTTTTTTGAAAAATTTTAATTAAGCCTGTACTCAGCTCTGGGAAGGTTGAGGGAGGGTATGGGAGGTTTGGGGATATGGGGGAGGGTATGGGAGGGTGGGGGGTTTGGGAAAGGGATTTGTTTTGTAAAATTCAAAAACTTTCAATAAAAAAAATTGTACTCAAATTAGGACCCTGGGAAAAATTATTCTCTCTCTCCAGCCAAATTTGCACAAGAAGTGGAATATCCTCTCCTCCACCTTGTCCATCCAATGAGAAATAAAACAATTGAGGTAGAAGTTGTAGGAAGTGTTTTTTTTTTTTTAAACTTGTTTTCAGGCCAAGATATTGGCCATTGAATGTGTCCTTTTAAGACCTCAGTTCACTTCCATTTCTTCACTGGAGGAAATGGATTTTGGTGCTGTCCATGGTGCTTCAACTGGGTGTGTATTTATCAGGAAATACTAGACAAATTCCTGAGGCAATGGCTGTGTTTGTATAACATGCTTACTTAGAAGAAGACATTTTTGTGGTCCTATTGCACTGGACAATAAAGATATAAGCTAGATTCTTACAGCATACAAGGCTAAAATGTGAGTTGGCTAGTTGGTAATTCAATGTGTCACAAGAACATAGCCAACAGTTCTGTTTTTTGTTTTTTTGTTTTTGTGCAAGCACATGTGCACATAAAACTCTTTTCTTCTTACTCCAGCTAGGGAGAGAATTCAAATGAATGCCTTTAAATAAGTTTAATTTTTTTCTTATCACTATAGATTTCACTGAGTGAATACACATTTATGGGCTTACTCTAGAGTAAATGTCTTATTCCTGGTTCCTTCTCTGTTCAGACTTCAATTTATTGCCCACTGTAGAGTTTTTTCAAAGCTCTGTGAGGAATTTCCCATTGTTTCAATATTACTATCCAGTGAAATCTTTATTTTAGTATTTTGATGGTTTGCAATAATAAATGTGGCGTTTATTTATTTACATTTACAGTAATTAAATTAAATGTTGGGTAATTTTTATAATATTTGAAAACAGTCTTAACAAAATTGACTATTGTTGTAAATGTTACTAAAAATGGTAAAAAGAATCATTTGGTTTGCAAAATCATATATTGCACCTAGAAATGTCCATGACAAATATATCGTGTATTTTTAGCTACATATAAATGACCTTTAGTGCCAACTATGGATTATCTTCATGGTTAATTCTAAATTAATTTCAAAAGAAAAATATTTAAATGAAATTGTATGACACAAAGAGTTACAATAAAATTCTCAAAGTGTTTATCACAGATCATCCCCCTAGACTTTCAAAAGAACCTTTCAAGTTTAATGGAAGAGATTTGTAAAACATTGAAGACATTATCTTGCTCTTATTAAGGAAATAGAATAAGAACATCCTTCAATTGTTGTTAATGGTCTTAATTGATGAAATCTGTACAGTTTTCAAAGAAATGATTGAATATGACTCAACTGAAACATAAGTGGAACTTGTGACTAATTTTTGGTAATATATATTCAGAGATAACAGTTTCTAATTCCACATTTCTTTTATTGCACAATTTTATCCTTATGCTTAAAAAATAATCATCAAGAAATGGGGAAAGAGGAAAAAAGTTGGGACCCAGTAATTCCTTGCTATTTTTTCAGCTTCTGATTAAGGTTAAAATATAGATTTGAAGTGTAAATATTAATTTCTTAATATCATGGAAAAATAGGTTGCCCTAATGGAGAGGGAACTCATTGCTAATTTAATAGGGACTCATTGAAAATTACTTGAGCTTTTTATAATATAATCAATTGAATGAAATGGAAGATATCAAACAAATATTTGAACATGCCTGCCTCATTCATGTATACATGAATTTACATGAAGAAGGGGGGAAACTATTTTAGAAGAAAATGTGCATAGCAGAAAAGAAGGATGGATATTCTCTTTCAGTTTCCTTCTGTATTGTCACCTTCTGCATTTTTCACCAGTTCAACATTGTTGTCAGAACTGAAATTGGGGCAACGAGCCTGAAGTCATGAGCATAGGGTAAGGGTGATATTCAGATCCTCTCACACATGTGTATATTTTGTTGTAGAAATCCAGCTCTTTCCATTCCCTTTTTAATGCAAAGAAATCCATTAACATCCTGTTAGCCTTTATAAATTGGTTGCACAGAAAATGCAGGAAAAGTCCAGGTGTACAGGTGCTCCTCAACTTACGACCATTATTGAGCCCAAAATGTCTGCTGCTAAGCAAGATAGTTAAGTGAGCTTTACCCCATTTTGCAACCTTTCTTGCCACCATTGTTAAGTGAATCACTGGAGTTGTTAAGTAAGTCACATGGTTTTAAGTGAATCTGGCTTTCCCATTGACTTTGCTTGTCAGAAAATCGCAACAGGTGATTGAATGACCCTGAGAAACAGCAACCGTCATAAATATGAGCCAGTTGCCAAGAGTTTGAATTTTGATTGTGTGACCACGGAGATGCAACGGTTATAAGTTTGTCATAAGTCATTTTTTTTCATTGCCATTATAACTTCAAATGGTCACTAAACAAATGGTTGTAAGTTGAAAACTAACTCTATTTCATGTGAAAAAAACAGGGTAGAAATATAAACAAAAGAAAAAAAACTAGAAAAAAGTGTGTTATGAAAAAAAACATTTTGTTGTGGGAAATCAATGTCTTTTTCAATTTCATTTAAATTTGACATTGATTTATCTGACTCTAGGAAGTGTCATATGTAATTTGATTTGATTTGATTTAAATTAATTTGATTTAATTTAATAATTTGTTTTAGGGGCTACCCAACACCAGAGAATTAAGATACTTTGAACTGGTTACTTGTTTAGTTTGAATTTTGTATTTAGTACAACTTTTGTCATCTTGATGTAATAACTAAGCATAGCATGAATTCATTATTCATTATCACTGGCATCCACCTCATCCCTAAAAAGACAAGTTCTTCTAGTTATTTCATTCTTACATTTTAAGGTTTATGCTTTTATAAAATAGATTTTTAAGTATTAAGTAGACATTCATCTACATTATGAATAAATATATTGTTAGGCTGTCACTTGAAAACAATACCATGGACTGACACACAGGCAACTACAGTCATGTTGTAGTGATTTGTTATAGAAGGATACAATAAAAAATGGGAAAAATAGACAAAAAAGTGGCCTATCTTTCCTTACTGCCTCTTAAAAGATCTTAAAAACATCCTAAATAAAAAGATGCATATTTCATTGAGAACAGATTACTACTAAGCACTCTTCTGAAGTCTTTATCTGTACAAATTCAATTTGGGATTTCCCTAAAGAGACTAATACAGCTGAGCAGTTTAATCCTTGTTCGCCTTATTTGTTTTTCAGAACCTCTGAATAATTTTACTGGTAACCCATATTTTAGCACATGCATATTACTGACCTATTAACCTAATTACTTGAAATAAGGATTTGTGGGGTGGTTTGCTTCAGCCATATATAATATTTTTTAATTTAGGCGTTTTTTCCCCAAGCTAATATGTTGGAAATCTTTTTTTTTCTTAGATATATTAGTATACAGTATTGTGTTCTAGACATATGTAATAATAATTGTAGAAAAATGGGATGCATTCATTTGTAGTACTATATATAAAAATATTGATGCTGATCCAGAGATAATTGTATACCTTGTGATAAATTATTAGTTATAAATAAAAAAATAGTGTGTAGTGGTGCCAGTTGCTGAAAAGTTGTGTACTCTAATTTATAGACGAATGCATGTAGATACAGGTTTCCAACTGTAACTGGATATTAGAAATGTCACTCAAAGCATAAACACAAGCTACTTCCTCCTAGTTTATATTCAGGATAGAGAATGGAATGAAGAAGAAGTGATTTGAGGAAGACAGATTTGAGGGAAATCTAGAATCCTAGACTACTTATTTATCTGAGGAATAGGTTTATGAGGATATGCAATATTTAATGTTGGGGAAGCCTGATACCCTATAAATAATTTGTAATAAAAGAGGCTGTTTCTAACCCATTTTAAGCTATTAAAGCAATGTTCATTTGATTCTTTTTTTTTTTAATTACAACAGTGTCTGTGCGGATCTGTGCTGGTCATATATCTTATCCATGTGCCACCTAGTTACATTACCTCAGATATATTGTATAAAGAAAGGGGGGAAAAATCCCGATCAGGAAAATATGTGGAATGACAGCCGAATCAATAGCCTTCAAAGATGTCTTGAGTTAATGAAGCTAGATTTTATTGAAAGGAGAAAGAAAAATGTTTTGATGTTTTTACTTGATTCATATGGCTGCCCATTTACTCTGGGTGGTGCACAGGGATAAAAGCAACAACTGCTACAAATAGTCTTTGACACCCAGGTGAACAATCCATTCCAGATATGAATAACCAATCGGCAGCAGAGCTAATGTGCTCAAATGCCTGGAGAAATAGCCAGGTCTTCAGAGTTTTGCAAAAGACTACTAGGGTCAAGACCATCCCGATCTCCAGAGGATATATAGCAGCAATTCATGTTCTAGGTGCTGTGAAAAGATCTTAAATCAGCATTCTTTCTAAGTTTGTTAACCTACAGCAGTGCTTTTCAACCGTTGGTATGCATACCACCTGTGGTACATTGGCAAGTGATAGGTGGTACGTGGCCTTGCCCAGCCCAGCCAAGTGTTAGTGGGGGGAGGGAATGAGCCAAAGCAGCACAGCACAGGCCTTGCCCTGAGAGAGTCTTCAGGAGCTGCAGGGCTGCTGGGGCAAGGCAAAGGCCCCAGGATTGGCATTTCCAGAAGACAAATGAGGAGGAGGGGGCAAAGACAGGAAGGGATATAAAAGGAGGTAGTTTAGGCGGGAGAGGGAGAGAAAAAAAAAGATGCAACCTTGGGAGGAGGAGGAAGAGTCATCTGGAGCTGCACCAAAGAGAAAAGGAGGAGGAGGGGCGAGAGAGGAGAGGACAAAAAACAGACTGGGTGCGCATGCAGGTGGCACGACAAACAGGTAAGAAACGCAGCTGGTGGCTGTGTGGCTGATGGCCATGGCTTGAAAGACCACTGTAAATTGCTGGACAAGAGCCGCATAGCGTTAAGAGCAGACTGGCAGGAAGATATTTGTAATGAGGGAGGGAGAAAACAGGCATCCCCTGAAGGAGATCAGCAAATGGCCCTCGCCCATTTCACACACCCGTGGACTCCGGGGGAGGGGACTCCGCGAGCAGCATGAGAGTCCACGTTACCTGCACTATGCCACCCAGACCCCAGCCTGGTTTCGGCAGGCAGCAGTGCACTCTCATCGCGCGGAGCAGCTAAGTCAGGTGAGGTGAACTAGTGACATGCCGAACCTGCCTGGGTGCGCGCAGAGGCGGTGACGAGCGCCTGGTGCCTGGTGTCCTGTTTTGCCATGCAGGCTGTGACTGTTTTGCCATGCAGGGAAAAAGCACTTCTGAGTGCTTCCCTTTCATCCATTGTACCACTTTTAGGATATGGCAATATCTGAGTACCACCAGTTGCCTAGCAAGGTGTCAAAAACTTGGTGACCAAAAAAAAAAAAAGGAAAAAAGTGATAAAGTACAGGTAGTCCTTGACTTACAACAATTTGCTTAGTGAAATTACAACAGCACTGAAAAAAGTGACTTCTGACCATTTTTCACACTTATGATTGTTGCAGTATCCCCAGGGTAATGTGATTTACATTTGGATGCTTGGCAACTGATTCATACTTATGACGGTCACAGTGTCCCAGGGTCATGTGATCATCTTTTGCAACTTTTCGACAAGCAAAGTCAATGGCCAGGGGGGGCATGGCCAGCTCAACATCACTCAGGTCGCAGGGTGCCTGTGGGGGGTGCGGGCGGGGCTGTGGGGGGATCTGTGGGTCTCTGGTGGAGAGGGATGAGACTGGGATGGGTGCCTTCCCTTCCTCCCTCCCTCCATCTCTTCCTTTCTTCCTTCCCTCCCTCTTTGTCCCTTCCTTCCTTCCTTCCTTCCCTCCCTCCCTCCATCCCATTGTCCCTTCCTTCCTTCCTTCCTTCCTTCCTTCCTTCCTTCCTTCCTTCCTTCCTTCCTTCCTTTCCTCTTTGTCCCTTCCTTCCCTCCCTCCCATTGTCCCTTCCTTCCTTCCTCCCTCCCTCCCTCCCTCCCTCCACACCCAGGAAGGGACAAGGGGAGGGGGACAGGCTGTGGCTGGTGGCTGTGCTGCCAATGGCCACGGCTTGAAAGGCCACTGTAAATTGCTGGAGCCGCACAGCGTTAAGAGCAGAGTGGGGTTGAAAAGCCCTGACCTATAGCTCCTGTAATCCCTTTCCACCCTATTTGTGCTTTGGGAACATGGGGCATGGGAGGCAAAATTCCACACATTAAATTATATCTCTCTCCCAGATATATAAAAGTGCATTTTGTTGACAAATGTTAAAAAGAACTATGTCAGTTTTTTAAAAAATATATATATTTGTCAGTAAAAGGCAATTTTATGTATATAGAAGAGTCTTTTCCAACCTGGTCAAGATACCTGTATGCTAATTTGTCACTCAATTCAAAATGAAACATATCCTTGTCAAGATTTTTTTTTTTTTTTTGCAATAGAAGCACTATATTACCACCTTTCAGCCAAGTTTTCAGAGAGAAAATACTCATAAAATCTTTTGGCTGGTTTAGGATTTGTGTCTTCAGAAGGATGTAGTATTTTCTGTTTGAGAGGTCCACAACCAATAAGAATCACAGTGACGGGCCTGTGTGTCAGAAAAACGTCCTTATTCAGATGCTATCTACGTTGTAATGCAAAGCTTTATGCCGCCCTCATCAATATTTCATCTTACAAGCTAAGGAATGTAGCAAATATAAATGAATAACTCAATATAATACAATGTGTGTATTTATTATAGTATTTCTATCATAATATCTACCTTTTGAGTTTATTAATTTTTATCTGCTGAACATTCTCTAATTATTGATGGTGTGAATTACCTAACTAGATGAATGCCTTTATTAAAAAGATCAACATCTTCTATATTCTTTTATGTAAGACTGTGTCTGGTCTTGTACTGTTCCATGATATCTCTAGGATCATAATTTCAAATACTCCACCTTGAGAAAAAAAACCCTCTTTTCTTTCATTCTTTTGCTCAAAAATAAAAAGAGTGACTAATGTATTTTTGTTCAAGGACTAAGTTTTGCTTTATGGTTTACACTTTATGGTTTACACACATACACAGACATACTGTCTTGAAACACATGAGAGATACATAAAAAATAATGACTCCAATGTTATTACTTGTCAACAGATGGCAGTATTGATGCACCCGAAACTCTTACGTGTTCCTTAGCATCTGTGTTTTGACTTCATTAGGTGGGACATTGCTGTGAATGTGTGCTATTGCTCATGAAATGGAAGCCTGCAGTAAATATTCATTGGGGCCATTTAAGCAGTGCATTGTTTTTGAATGTTGAATAAGTTCCTTCAATTGAAATTTACTGCTGAATGCAGGTGGTTTATAGTGATGACTAGGGAAAATCTCATAGCTATGGTTTCTTATTCCATCTCCCATATATAGTAAGTCAAATTTAGCATCATGCAATTTCCTCTTTTTCCCAAAATGAAGGAATATTTTTGTAGGCTTTTGTTTTACTCAAGTGAAGAGGTGGAAAAGTCTGTCCACCCATGGCTGAAGAGACACAGTGTGGAGTTCTTTCATGACCGTTTTAAGAAGATTGTCGAATGTGGGCACAAGTGAATAGCGATTATATCAGTAAATAAAGACAGGTAACAAAAGAGCTCATTTCAAGGATTATTTTTATGTTTGTTTATTTTAAAAAATCCTTATTTAAAGTAAAGATATGGATATTGAGACATTACATTCAACTATCATAATTCAAATTCCCAAAGCTAATTATACTTTTCTCTCCAAATGTTTTGAACAACAGCTGTCAGAATTGTTGGAGTTGACAGAATTGTCTGGGAATCAATAAAGTTTAAGGTACAGTAACTAAATATTGAACTAGTTTATTCATTACAAAATTCATTATTTTCTCACAACTGCTGCAGTCTTGTCACAAAATCTCTTATGCAAACTCTATGGGTAAAAATGAATAATAATGACTTAAGACAGGTATAGCAGAACCTACAAACATCTGAATGGTCCTTAAAGCATCAAGGGTTAGAATTCTTTGTAGCTCTTCACTAGGCTTTTGTATCTTTCTCCCTTCTGACTCTTGAACTGCTGTTACCATCAGTCTTGCTGATGAGATTTTATGCTGTAAGTGCCCTTGATTCTTCTTCATTTTCTGATGATTGGATTTCTCCAGAGTCTATAATGAAGACAGGAATTCTCTTTAAATATCTCTATTGTATTTTTCCTTCTCTGAAAGTCTTTTCTATTTGAAAAAAGAATGGCATAATATCTCTGGTACTTAGAAGAAGCACAGCACTGCCTGGACATGAACAAGAGTTGCTCTCTACTAGCTACATGAAAAACACTCTGAAACAGAGTTTAGTATCCATTGATCTATTTATACTTACAGCAGGCTTTACCTGCCTAAAACAGTTCTTGAAGAAATAGCTCCTCTTATACATACTTTATTTCTCCTTTTCAATTTCTTTCTCACTATTCTTCTATTGAAAAATGCTGGCCAGTGAGAGCTAACAAGAAAATAAATCATTCAAATACAGGTAGACTTTGACTTATGAGCCTAAAATTTCTGTTATTAAGTGAGATGTTTGTTAAATGAATTTTGGCTCATTTTACAACCTTTCTTGCCTCAGCTGTTAAGTGAATTGCTGCAGTTGTTAAATTAGTGACACAGTTGTTAAATGAATCTGGCTTTCCCATTGACTTTGCTTGTCAGAAGATTGCAAAAGGTGATCACATGACCTCAGGACACTGCAACCGTCATAAATATGAACCAGTTGTCAATGTCCAAATTTTGATCACATGACCTCAGGGACACTACAAAGTGTGCAAAACAATCATAAGTCACTTTTTTAATGCTGTTGTAACTTTGAACAGTCATTAAATGAACTGTTGTAAATCGAGGATTACCTGTAATACAACTGATAGATAAATTTCCCAACTATCCTTGTTCACCTTCCATCTGGATAGACTTCTTCAAACATATGCTTTTGTTTCAAACCCTTCATTTGTACAACAACATGTGCACGACTGCTCTGTTCCAGACTTCCAGCTTCCTGTTCCAGCTATTAATTTTAACATGCTTTATCTGGATGCTTTGATGTAGAATCTACCAGTTGTGAAACAAAGCTTGAACAGTATTTAAAGTCAAGGGTAAAAACAAACTGTGGGCACAGCAGTTCTGTGTGACAGTTCATGGAAGCTATGCTGAAGTCCTCCATCAAATGATTACCATGGGGGGTAGATATTCAAAGAAAAGAGGGAAAACATGTGCTCATCACTTTTGTAAGGGCAGAAACATTTTAGACTGTAAAAGGTGATCTAGGTCCCCAAAGTATCCAACTAGTTTTAGAGTCTGAATTTTGAATCATAGTCCCTCCTCCATACCATATGGCAAATCTCTTCTGAAACCAAAGGGAGTTCAATAAGCAGCTTTTTGTAGAATAGGAGAGACTGTTGTTCAAAGGAAAAATGTCAAAAATTCCCCTGGGCATGGCAAAGGCTGAGGATGAATCTAACATTGCCCACTGGATTCTGGCCAGTGAAACTAATTATATTAGTAAAGCAAATAGGATTAGGTCTTTGCAGTTATAATGGCTTTCAATGCATAATCCCTTGTATTTTTCTGGAGTACAATCCTTTTTGGAAATTGGACTTGATATGAAATATTTTAGGCTCATTTGAAATAAGATAAATGACTATTCCACCATAGAAGGACTGTTAGTTTTATATGGCCAGTTCTTTGAAATACTGGCTTATTTAGGGGGTTGCTAAAAGTAATTATTAGGAACATTTTCTTGTGACATTCTGATATACACATAGAATCAACTTGTCCCTAAGTCCAAATGTTAGATGCCTTTTTCAATAGCAAAATCAAAACTATCTCTGGTTTTTAAGATATAAATTTTAATAATGCTACAAAGAAGATGCCAAGTAACCCTATTACCCTGGAATGAACTACAATGAAAGCTATCTATTTATTTGACACTTCTCTTTCCATGTATGGCTTTACTTTGCAAAATCTGAAGCAAAATTTTGCTTGTGTAAGAAATTAGTGATCATTTCCATATTTTCCTCTGTATCCTTTCTCCAGCACAAAATATACACCAATCTTTTTTCAATGTGTAGGCATAGGTGTCCAATCCATTGCTAATCATAATAATGGAAAAAATGACCAAATATATGTTGTGATACAAGGAAGTAAATCATAGGGTTTCCACTATGACAGCATGACGCATGTATAATCACTTCATCCCTTCACCCTGAACACATGAACGCTTTGCTTGCAGGACCCTTAGTTTTGTTTCATATTTGCTGAAGTGAAGTTGTTAGCCTTTTGAACAGCCCAGTTGAACAGCTAGCTTTGAACAGTTCAGTAGGCATTTTGTCTGCACCTAGTGCTTTTTTATTTAATATTTGGTTTATTGCCTTTCTACTGGATTTTTTTTTCCCCTGAAACTTCAACTGATTCAAAATTTAGTATACTGGTGAGAAGTGACGTATCAGTGCAATACCAATACTGGATGTGCTGCATTTCTAGATACAAATTAGAGTTTTGGTTATTACCTATGTAAAACAAAATCCTTCATTTGAAATGTGGTTTGTCATGCGGCATAAAGACTAGGTTCAATTTTTCTGTAAGTATCCTACCGGGAAAGGATTTACAATTTAATCAAATTTAAATCAGCAAATTTAGATAAATGTTTGCGTTTAAGCTTATTTAGCATTACAGAATAAATCCCTATTCTTGATCTCTCAACAAAGAGATCAAAAAAAGAAAAGAAAATTTGATTCCAGATGTCTGCTATTTCATCCCTTTTCTCTACTTCAGTCTCGAAGTTACAGAAGTGTGGGAGACCTATGCCCCTTTACCAGATCCTTGAGAAAGTTTGGCTTCAGTTGCCAGCTTCTCCAGTCTTTCTTTCTCATTGCTTCTGAGGCATGAAAGAATTATACATTTGTGTAATAGTTACTTATTGTGTGTGTGTGTGTGTGTGTGTGTGTGTGTGTGTGTGTGTTCAAATCAGGTTTTCTTCTTAACTCCAGTGACTGCCTGGACAAGTCCCTGTAGTTTTTTTGGGAAGTGGTTTGCTGCTGCCTCCTTCGTAGGCTGAGAGAGCTCTGGTGGATAGCCCAAGCTCATCCAACTGGCTTTGTGACTAACGCTGGACTAGAATTCATAGTCTTGCAATTTCTAGCCTGATGCCTTAACCACAATACCAAATTGGTTCCAGCTGCTGGTTTAGAAGCTATAATTCCCAAATGTCTTTTTTTTTTTAACATAATGTTTATTGTAATCATTCAAGCTAGCTTCTGAGCATTTGAAAACAGCATTAAATCTGGTGGAATATTACTATTTATTGTACCTGTTATTGAAACCTGGGACAGATCTTCCTAGAGAAAATCAATCTATATGGTTGACTTGATACCATATTGTCTGTCTGTCTGTCTATCACTTATTTAAATACCCATAAATTTTCCAGTGGTGAGGTTAGTCAAAAAAACCTATCCCTATCCTTCTCACCTTGCTACTCTTAGAAAAGGAAGAGTTTGTGGGGTTGTACTGTTTTCCTATGCTAAATTAAAATTGTATCCCTTGCCACTGGCCATTTCTGAATTCAGTACAAGCTCATTTGAGATGATTGCAAGATTTCATCAACCGCTTCAAGTATTACTAGCAATTGTTATACTGATCTGCAGATGTTCACTCCAGCTTCCTTGAAGAATTTTCAGCCTCACTCAATATTTTAGTTGTCTCTGGTTAGCTGTGGATTTCAGTATCTGCCCTGATAATTATGTTTTTTCCCCAGCAGCTTTTAAATTTTTGGCAACTTTAGCTATCTGCAAACCCTCTGCAGAGAAGGAACACTTCACTTAATTATAGAATTTTAGATCAAATATTTTATTATGTATTTCATATTGATAGGTCTGCTCATTATCCAGTATACTTTTCATTGGTATTTCTTCTTCAGTTACTTAAACTAGAGACCATTCAGTCTATCTGAAACTAGTTTTTGCTAGCACATCCCCAGCAAGTCAGTAAATTTGCTGAAGTATATGTTGAAGCCACAGGATCTTGGCCCTATTAAAAATCTATGTTATTAAACCAAGTCTTCTTCATCCTTTGCATACTGTAACTCTTCATTCACAATACTCACTGGCCTGGTGCCTAGAGAGGTATTAGTGGAAAACCCAGAATTTCACACAGCTTAAAGAGTTTACAGCAGCCCTGGCTTCTTAGTAGCACCGAATTTACATAAGCAAAATTATTATCAACAAGTAATTTTGGCACAGGCTACTTGCCAGCTTTGCAGACATTTTAATCACTCCTAATGGGTAACCATGCTGCCTTCTCTGATGAAGCTCCAGCAGATGCCTCAGATAATTTCTTTATATCTAAGATTCATGTCCTTCCTTGAGATTGTTCCTCCTCCCCTCACAAGAGTTTACTTTTACCTCAGTTGTTTTGGTCAGCCATTTGAGGTAGACCAGACAGAAATTCAAAGCCATGACTACTAATACTTCCTTTATTGTAAGGTTACAATAATAGAAACTTCTCATTTTCAAAAATAAAAAATAATAAAAAAGCTAAAAAAGAAACAAAACACCATCTCTCCAACAACCAACACTCAGATTAAAAAAAAATCAGGCAGAAAACAATACCTTAATTAAGGAAGTACTGAGAACACCCTCCCCCATACACACACACACACAAATAATCCAGCAGCAAGACTGCTAAATATAAACAGACAGTAAATCCCATACTCACTCAGAGTGATGATGTTACCTAGTCAGATAATGAGAAACCTGCAAACAACCAAGCTCAGAGAAGAATCTATAGTTAGATC